AGACTATTGATCAAGGCTAGCTAATGGAGTGCTGTGCCATCAGTTTGTGTGAGCACATCTCATCAAATTGCAGTGCAAAGTTAGAGTGGGAATCAGTGTCTGAGTTGCACTTTTAGCAAGTAAACCTGTGTGCAGAATGATACACAGTTTATTTGTAGGACATTGCTATGGGCAGCGGTGACGGCACTTGCCAGAATTTTGCCATCATAGATCTTTGTGGTCGGCATGATTAACGCAGCATTGTGCTAAAACTACCCAACATGTGAAAGGCAGACTGTGTCTTGGCAGCCTTGAGGCTTTCAGAGTGGCCTTTCTTCTCCGGGCAGAGCGATGGGCTGCTGTCAACAAAGCCAGGTCTGTTCTAAAGGAGCAGCCACTTTATCAAGCTACTTCACAACACAAGGTTTCCACACAGCTTTCTTGGATGGTAAAAAGACTGTCAGTGTTTCCACTCCAGATAGAAATGGTAAATGAGACTGTCAGCCGGTAGCATGGTATATGACAGCTTGGAAGAAAATGACACTGAATCAGGTTTTAAAAAGAATGTGGAAGTGAACAAATGACCTTTCTTAAAGTGGTTAGCCAGAATCTTTTTAAGCAAGGGGATATTTGTGTTGTGGTTTGGGTTGTGAGACTCAGCCCTAATTAAGAATGAGCTGAAACTCAACAGCCTCACGTCATCACTTCCTCTCTTCCCCCCTGTTTTCTGTCTTCACTGTCAAATAAGGAAACATGCCAAAAAGTTACACATTTTATTTAATAATGTGGTGATCTGCTACTTTATTTTTTTAAGTTTTTTATTTTAAGTTTTTTTATTATTGTAAATTGAATATCTTTGGATTTGTCCTGCTGATCAGGCAAAACATGCAATTTGAAGATGTTATTCTGGCCTCTGGTAACTACAAGTAGTCTCCTAAGATGTTATAGAGCAAACTATTAATCTTTTAAGCCCAAAAAACCCAACAGATGAATCAGTAGTTAAAATAATCTCGAGCTGCAGCCCTATTGTTGAGTCTGGTCAGTGTTTGTATCATAAGTACAGTACGTGGTCCAAAATCATGACAGAGTCTGAAAATAGGAAAGACGGCTAGGCACCACAAACTGCTTGACAACAACATTTATAAACTTGGGTCGCTGTTCTATTTTTGCAGTGAATTGTTTGGATCGCTGGTCAGCTGTGGACTGTTTTTGAACTTCAGACAGCAGGAAGAGGCTCCACAGGGACCAGGAAAAGGAAGATAGCAATGACCTGTTGAATGCAGTACCAAGAGCCTCAAGTCTGCTGGGTTTTTGGACACTCCTGCATGATGGTTTGGGGAGAATATGAATCAGCGCTCATTAAATGCTGCTCGCACTCAGTGTTTGGCCTCCACATTGTTCACCTATAGTGCAGCCAATCCGTCTTCAGTCTTTTGTTCAGTTTAGGTCACGTCTAAACTTGACTTTACTCTCATAAATCTTAGTGATGTCTTAAATCTGTTCTTACATGAGCAAGTGTGTTGAGTTTTTCAGTCAGAACTGCAGTTCAGTGCCTTAGAAAAGGTACAACTGCTTTAATTACTTTATTTGTTCTTCTATTGAATCATTTAATCTATTAATTGTCAATAATATCAGTTCAAAAATTACTTGCTTTATCTGACAGTGAAACAAACAAAACAAGGTATAAACCTAATACATGGCGAGACTATGTGTAGGTGCGAACTGTGGGCTTAGGACTACTTGTTATGGGAAATCGCCCACAATACTTTCCCACTGTTGCAGTCCAGCCAAAAACGGTCCCCACATGCAATGGGTTTTAACCTGCAAATTTTTGCTATGTGGTACTTGCAAAATCCACAAATTGATTAATCAGCTAGCTGTTGAGGTGCATATGAAGTAAATTTTAGTATTTATATTATATGCACCAAATATATATTTGGTGATTTCTGCAGATTTCTGCATAGTTTCAATTTAATTCATTTTATACATAAATATGATGTAGCGATACAATACACTTCATTGTATGAAAATAAATCTGCACTCACATTCTACTTATAGACAACTTACCAAAGATGGACAAAAAAGTTAAAAAATATCTGCACATTGGTTTAAACCTTTTGCAACATGCTTGGCTTGTATGAATGTGAAGACTAGACAGTGGTGTTACTTTCTTATAGGAAGGTACTGTGTGTGTTCTATAGTGTTGGTAAGGCTGTAATGTCTTTGTGTTACTTCCTCCCTCCTCACTTATATTTACTTCTCAGTCTGTGCCCTATATCCCTCCTCTGTAGCCCTGGCCTGCTGCCCTTTAGTTGAATGGGACAGAACAGCTTTAGTTGTTGTCGTTGGCTTTTGTTCAGAGCCACTCATTGGTGGAATGTCAGGGTGGCATATGTACACTGCCACTTCAGTCTGAGATGGACACCCTCTGCTAAGCTTAAGTTTTAGTTTAGCACAACCTTTGGCCCTAATTTATAACCCCTCAGTTACTCAGAGTCCCTCTGGTCCAGTGAAGAGAGAGTGAAGAGATGTGTGTCTGCTCTGCTCCATTTCAGCCTCCACGTCAACCATCTGGAATGGCTGTGCTACTGCCTGTAGTCGGACACATTGACGAGCTCTCTGGGACTGCTCACCACAGCATCACGACCACGTCCAAAATAACCAAAACAAAAGCAGAATCTACTTTTTTAAAAATCATTTTCAGTAAGGCTTCTTGATTATTTTGATAAATTTCAAATGATATAAATGACTTCAACAAGTTATTAAACTTGTTCTTCTGTTGATTGACTAATCAACTAATTTTTTCAGCAGTCATTACCACCCTTTTTCATTTCTGATCCGTTGTTTAAAAGCACATTGACTAAACCTTGGCTAACTTATAGCATATCACATAGCAGGTACTTGATTGTGCAGCAAAGTTCAGCTCATTGAAACATGTTGAAAATGTTACATATTGCTGAATTATGTGTGACAGTGAGGTAATGGCTCATGTCCTTTTATATTTGTTATAATCATAATGTAAAAGAAAAGGTTTAACGTCTCCCTTTTGGCCGGTGATGCAGCTCATTTAACCCAGTCGGTGTGATCCGTGTCCCGGTATGAACGTGTGTGTGATCCCTCACCCATGGCAGCTTGACGTGGGTGAATTGTGTTTCCCTACAACGCTGAGGTCATGGTGGGGGAGGTGAGTCATTTTGGCATTTGAAGGAGAGGAGGCGTTCAGCTGCTTTACACATTATAACTGTGCTGAGGCCTGGCGTCCCCCCAGCAGCTGCCTCGTTGAAATAATGGACAAGTTAACAGGACATTCTGGAAAACTGCATGATTAAAGACAAAACTCCCTAAGGGGGGAAAGTTGTGGTAACAGAGTTTAACTCATACACATGACATGCTATTGATGTAGAAAATGTGTGCTCAAGTTGCATAAAAGATTTGTAATAGGTCTAAACTTAAAACATTGCTGAGCAAGCGCAACTGTGCCAAATTCCTCTGAAACTTAGTGCCGGAGCTCGAAGTGTTGACTGATACAAAACCCTCATGACTGATGAGCTAGTCATCAGGACTGAGCATGGGGTGGTGGGTGTGTCCTGTCTCGACTGGAGTCCGTTTGTCATCCCCTGGTTCCACCTTTACCAGTTCCTAAATATAATACAGTAGCTAAGTGGCTTGTCATTAATAACGGCAGACCATGTAGCATCTTCCAGTTCCGGATTTAGGGTTTGGTTATACACCAGTAGTTTGCAGTATCCTTGTCAAAATTGTAACCTTAGCTAAGCGAAGATAATGGATGAGATGGAAGCGAAGAATTCTACCAAATCCATTCGTCTCTATATTGCAACACCACAGAGTGCATCGCATTCTTTCATTGGTTTGTTGTCAAAGTATCCCATGGTTGAATTAGAATCACAAGAGCAAGTGTGAAGCACTAGTGCTATTTCTGTAGTTACTGCACTTTAACCTTTCGAAATGATTTAGAACAGTGGTTAGACTGCTGAATCCCTCAAATAAATCAGAGTTATAACTGACTCTACCCAATCAACTGAAAACACATATTTCCTGTGCTAAAAGTAACTCTCAACATCTGTCATAATTTTGGCAGACAACGCTCTGATGAAGCATTCAAATCAACACAACTTCACAAATCTCTGTATATTAGATATTATTAAAAGTCTGATTCATCGAAGTGTTCAGTCAATAATCTAAGTAATATAAAAATAGCAAAAATGCTGAAATCACATGGCTTGTCTTGGCTTGCATATTTAGTCATGGTATGAAGTACATTACCATAATGTCCTGCTCCAGAATCCAAACAAAAAAGGCAAAGATATCCAAACAATAACCTATGATTTATCTCAAACCATTTGCAGTAATAACTGCTAGAAGTAGACGCTGTATTATGGCTCGGTTTTAAGCATTGTCACTACAAAGCTAAAAGTTTTTCACGTCTAGTTGCCATGTCCTCACTACGCTCACTTGAGTTGCCTGCCACAGTTTTCCTCCTCCTCGTCACAAAACTCTACACTGTTGTGTGAAAGTGAATGTGATTGCATAGCATCTGAGTTGACACTGTAATGGACCAATGACCTGCACAGACCTTTGGGCTCCGGGCTCCTGTGACCCTGAAGGAGATGAAACAGACGGGGTGAATGACAAATTGGTGAAGTCAGTTTGAAACTTACTGGATACGTCAATGTGAGCAATGGTTTTGAAAACAGGTTCACGTTAATTAACTTGTGTTAATCAAATTTGTTGGCATCAATCATTACATTACTTGTGCAAAGTAATATAAATTACGTTATGAATGATTGATTTATGAAATATTTTTTCTAAGCTCTCTAATTAATAAAAATTAGGTGAAATGTAGTAAAACACTGTTTGTAAATGTCTTGTCTTTGTCTTTTCTCTTGGGTTCTGTTGTGTATCTCATTGATCGTACATTACTTTTTTATTTACTTGAGATGTCTCGTTCCATTAAATTACAGTTGACTGATTTTTACTCATAAAGTATCTGTGTTTTCCAGGTGGGGAAGGAGACTGTACAAACCACAGAGGACCAGATTATGAAAAGGGACATGCCACCAGCTTTTATCAAGTAAGCACAATGCGATCACTTTGCATACCTCAATTTCATGCAATGACAAAGCATCTCAGATGTGTTTAGATGAAGTGATTATCTCTCTGCAGGATATGGAACCCACTAGCCTCTCTTTGGCTCTCTTTCTCTCTTTATCTGCTGCAGTAATGGCTGGTTGTGCCCAAGCAAAGGTCAGACATGGCATGTTAAGTGCCTCAGAGTCTTGCCCTGGTGTAACATAGATATTTTTTTTGCCCAGGGAGGAGCTCCTTTACCCTAAAGGAGAAGGGCCACAAACTCATACTGTACATGTCTTTATACATAAGCGCCACTGGCTGCTGCTGCTGCTTTTTTTTTTTCTGTCGACACATAAAACACACACACAAAAATGGGGTATGTATTCATATAGAAAAGAAGAGGTGTACATATGTAACCGTTGCATTTGTTTCCCTAGCTGACTCCACATCAGTTAAATCATTAACTTGTTCCCAGCTGCCGTCTGTTCATATCACACAGTTTCACCGTTCCCCATTACACGAGAGACTGTAGTTGTGGGAGGGAGAGGCGGGTCCTGGGAGCCCCCCAAGGTCAGGGATGAAATGCATTGGCAGGCACAGGTCATCAGACTCAACACATTTGGCGCCTCAAAGTCACATCGTCACCCTGTCGTCATCCATCAGCACATGCGATGGAATGCGTCTCCTTCACTAAATATAGTGTCTGTCAGGGTCCGGTTAATGCATGGGCTGTTTCTCGCTAGTGCACGCTGAAGGACACTGCTGGCTGGCTCTGCAAAGACACACACATGCACACAGACACACACACACACACACACACACACACACGTACGTCAGCCTTGATGTCATGCACATATGTTAGCCTTTATCCTTAAGAAGAATTGTTCCTCCAGAAGAATGAGAATGAGACTGAGCTCCTCTCGTTTGGCCCCTCTGCAAGGCCTAAAATGTGGAAAATAGCAATAACGTTCCTGTGTTACCGCGGCAACATTTGGCCTGTAGGCAAAAGTAGAAAGTTAGTACATTGTGGGAACTACAACATGTGGCGGTCCTTGGCTTGTTGCCTGTTTCTTTGTGCAATATTGCTGTTATGATACTATGCAGGTGGCATGTATGACGCTGACTCAAAGAATGAACCTGCAGTTTTTGCTCCTCTGTAGTTCACTGAGTGCATCACACCCAGGAGGCAACTATCAATCATTTACTTTTCTGTGGAAGCAGGGGTTAAATTGGGCTGAGGCCAGCCACAGTGCTGAAGTCTGCTGTGGTTTCCAGTCATATCCTGTGAGAAAAAGTTAACTTCTGTGTCACAAGATAAACATACTCTTACTCTACATGTGCGTTACATCAAGTCAGTTTTATTTATGTAGCCCGAATTCACAAATCACAGATTTGTCTCATTACAATTTATCACACCTTCTATCCTTAGATGCTTAGCCACTGGAACTGTTAAGAGTGTTTACCCAGCTCCCATCTTGCCCCACACCCTGTCCTGCTCACCCAAGAATTTGCTTGAAAATGAAATGGCCTGTCCTGTCTCTCATTCATTAAGCTTTTTGACAAAAAAAATCTCAAGTTAAGATCCACGGAGTAGATTTCTTCCAGTTGCATTTCATGAGACAGAGGTTGTGGGAAAACTCTACTTGGTGGTCCTTGAGTTAAGACTTTTTTGTTGAACTGCTATTTGCAAGATCAAGAGTGACCCTTCATGCTCAATTCATTTGGCTATTTCTTACATTCTTTTTCTAGGTAAAGTTCAATACCACAACACATTTACTCACAGTTTACTTTGTGCAACCATCATGTTTCTGTGAATGAATAAATCTGTAAATGCATTTAAAATGATCAAAAATTGACTAAAAGCACTATTTGACTGTTTTGAGTGTATTTTCACCATCAGCTTGCTGGTTAGAAACACCTGAGACATATCAATAGGAACTTCACAATATATTTCTGATTCAGTAAATGTTTACATTATTTGCTTCGGTTACATGATAATTTGTTTCTTAGTGCATGCTGTCCTATAGCTGTGTGCTGTATTGTACACAGCTTGTAATACAGAAAGGAAACTACTGACCATAATATTAGGACAACTAAGGTGAGAATAAGCTATTCACCTGATGTGTGAATTCTCTCTTTCTTTTGAGCTGAAATTTGATATTAATAATTTTGTTATTACTTGGTTACTTTTAATTCCAGCCAGCATCAGTTACAGTCAAATCTCAGCAGTCTAATTAATCAGGTTAATTGATTATAATCCCTAAATTCATATCAATCAGATCAATGTATGAAGAATAGTTGTTTTAGGCTTTGACATAACTGTAGGTGTAGAGAGAACTACCCATCGGATATAGACTCCATTAGCTTACACATAGGTATTTGCTTAAAACATGATGAAAAGCATATAAGAAAAGAAAATGAAACAAAATCGATGTTTAGACAGTAGTTACAGTATGTTATGACTAACTGTATCCTCAAGCTTCCATCTGTTTTTGCTGCAGGCAATTTGCTGTTTCCATGTGTACTGTCCATCTGGCTTCTGAAGGGCATCAGCATGACTTGTTTTTGAGGATTTTTTTTTTTCCCACTGGTCTTTAAATTAATCGTCTTGTGCTTTCCACAGAGTGGAGAATGCATGCACTAAACTGGTGCAGGCTGCCTCCATGCTGAAAGCCGATCCATACTCTGTTCCTGCTCGGGATTACCTCATCGATGGCTCCCGGGGCATCCTCTCTGGGACCTCTGACCTGCTCCTGACCTTTGATGAGGCTGAGGTATTCATTAATTCCTTCATACATTTATTTGTTCATTCATTCAATCATTCTATATTTTATTTAGAAAAATCTGTTAACCGGCAGAAGCCTGTTTGCTGAGCAAGGAGTTCATTTTTAAGACTTTACAGGAAAGAAATATAGATGCAGTGACACTGCTAGATATCATCAGTTTTAGAGGTTCTGTGTATTCTAGCACACCAGGATGCAGTTGTGCCCTTAACCTCAGAAACACATGTGAATTCAATTATGCTTTGATGCGACTCCTGACGATGGAAGAATTGATTTGTCTGCCTCTTGTGCTCTGAGTTCTCCCAGTGCATTAATAAAGCATTAGAGCAAAATGATGTGCGCTTACATGTGCTTGATTTTTTTTTTTATTTTCTCCTCTCACTTGGACTGGTCAGATATTTAAAGATTTATTTAACCAAAAAGGTCCCTTTGAGATACAATATCTCTTTTGCCAATGAGTCCTGGTCAAGATTGGGCGGCATCATGAGATCAAGGGTTTTATATGAAAATACAAATGGGGACAGATAATACCACAAAAATGTACCAAAACATAATAGACACAAAACATCAGAGGCTAAACACCAACTAATCCCAAAAAAGTGGCACATGTTAAAAGCAATGACATTGTTCTGTAAAAACTGCATAAAATGTGACTGCCTTATGTTGGCTATAGATATTAAAAAAAAGCAGGAAACAGAATTTGTGATAAGCTGATGACTGCAGTACATGTTTTTTGTTTTTTTTGGGGTTTTTTTTTTAGATATCCTGCCCCTGACGTATCTTTATCATGTCTCCTTAGTAACCAAATTCCAATGGTTGTTTTTTGTTTATTTTTTCTTTAATAAGTAAATATCAGCTAATATTTACCTATCAGATTATCCGCCTGAAAAATCCAGTATTGATCAGGCTGTAAAAGATGATGTGTGACTGTATTTTTATCATAGCAAGCTGTGGGAATTGTTCAGAAAACAACAGAAGCTGAGAAATGGACACAACATAGCTAACACAGCGTGTAACTGTGTTAAGGGTTGTAGCATTGATTTTCAATGAGCAGTAGGCGAGCTGGAAGGGCTTTAATATCTTTTTAATGGACACTTGAGTGAGAAAGAGATCTGCTGCCACAGGCCCCTCTGTTATAGGGATAGTATCAACCCCCACCACCACCCCTCACCACCCCACCCCTCTCTTGGGTGCTGTAAGGCTTATAAAGGAGACACAGAGGTAGATAAATGTGGCAGACATGCCAGTGGAACTTATACAAACTTCATATTTCTTACACAAACACTTCTTAAATCTTACACCAAGCAGGGGTATCATCAATCAGACCCATCCTCCTTATCCTCTCAGGGATGGAGAGTAAAATAGAAAAGTTGCACATCAGCTCTCTGTGAGCAGATATCAGGCGGGCGTCCCAGCGCTGTCTGCAGCAGTCAGCAGGACTCAGCAGGACTCAGCAGGAGTCATCAGTCAGCGTTGCCATCATGTTTTCAAATGCAGCTCAGGGATCACTCTGTATAGTGGAGTGGTGACTCCAGCAGTCCAAATAAAGCTGGAGTGAAAGAGGCTGGAATGTCAGTAGGCAGCATTGTGCAATTAGAGAGGATGTGAATGGGAGGGGGCAGGAGGGGTGGGGGTGCTGTGTTTGCGTAATCGCTTTTCTCTGGAAATGCACTGTTGTTTTTGAATTAGTGCTTGATGTTGTTTTATCCCACCACTATCTCAGGTCCGCAAAATAATCCGCGTATGCAAAGGCATCCTTGAGTACCTGACAGTGGCAGAGGTGGTGGAGTCCATGGAGGACTTGATCACATACACAAAGAACCTTGGACCAGGTCAGTCTGCTGACACAGTGGCAGGATTACTTTACTCAAGTCTTGACATAACAGTATCTGACAGTAGTGTCTTAGTTGACAGATTCTTGGTGTGTATGAGTTAACACTTTGTTTTTGACATATAAGCATTCATATGTGTTTTTAGGAGCACGCAAATTAAGTAAAAGTACATTGTGACGTTGACTGTCAGAGGAATGTATTGGAGTAAGAAGTACAACGTGTCTACAAAATTACACTTCAAGCTTATTATTTGTTTAAATGTTCTAAGTGTCTCTCCTTTCCACCTCTTGTTTTTTTGTCCAGGAATGACAAAGATGGCAAAGATGATTGATGAGCGACAGCAGGAGCTGACCCACCAGGAGCACCGCGTGATGCTGGTCAACTCCATGAACACAGTCAAAGAGCTGCTGCCCATCCTCATTTCAGGTAATCCTACACTGCCTTCACAGAGAGGAGATTCTTCAGCATTGCACCGTTTCTAGTTTTTTGTTTTCTCCATTTTGATGTTTTTCTTTTTTACATAAAGCAAAGACACTGGCACACACCCTACGCAGAGTATTGGTATTATTGAGTGGATATATTGAATTGTTTATTGTGAGTTCTGTTTTGTATTTCAGGTATCAAAATATTTGTGACAACCAAGACGTCTGGCAGCCAGGGTGTGGAGGAGGCCTTGAAGAACCGAAACTTCACTGTTGAGAAGATGAGCGCCGAGATAAACGAGATCATCAGAGTGCTGCAGCTGACGTCCTGGGATGAGGACGCCTGGGCCAACAAGGTACGCACGAATAAATGATATGATGCTTAGTTTGTCTATGGCCATCAAAGTCACATGCACACACTTTTATTATAAACATAAATGAAGAAAAATAGGCTGCTTTGCTGTTTGAGGTGCTCAGAGTGTTTAACCTTTTTTTTTTTTTTTTTTTTTTTTTTTTTTTTACATTCTTTATGGATCACAACTGGAAGCCGTGTTTATAAGAGCAAAAACTGACTTTTGTCCGCTACCCACTGTGCCCTCACGCACTCCCAGAATGCCTTTGGCGAGAGGCTGCAGACCGGAGAGATTATGAAGTGATGTTACTCTCATATGGCGTATATGTTTTCACCTTTCTCAATAAGGCATGCACTTTGTTTCATCAGGATGACCTTATTTCAATGTTGACAGGCATGAAAATGCTTTTGCATTTTACATACACTTCTTACATATAGCTGGCAATTTAAGTCGGCATGCTTTAACTTTCTCTGTGTCTCTATGTAGCTGGTTAATCTGTTGGCTTCTTTTATGTTTCTCTGCTCTGCACGTTTGGCTTCTCCCTTGTCCCAACACTCTCCAAATGGCTCTATCTGGTGCCACTTTTTTCTCTGTTGACACTTTTTTTTTTTTTTTTTTTTTGGTCTCAGTTGGTATGTCCAGTTAAACATTTGTATTTATGTCACTCTTCCTTTCTTTTTACCGTTTCTTTCTCCCTTCACCCCCTGTAGAAGGTAAGCCTTACTTCTCTTGCCACTTAGTTGTGCAGCAGCATGTCTGACAGATGTGTGTGCTGTCATGTGCTTTGTTGTGCCATTGTGTGGTTTTTTTTTTTGGTTTTTTTGCAGCGGGACTGTTGTGAGGTTAAAGTGTTAACTATCTGTTATTAGGGGTAGATTTGCAGTTTGAATATTGTTGTACTGCTGTTGGAATGGTGTTTATTGAAAGTGTTGAGCAGGTTGAATTGCTCAAATGTTGATCTGTGAAGTAACTTTTTTCTGGTTATGGATTTGTTTTGCTTCATAACATGACATTGTATCAATATCTGTGTGTCCTCCTCCTAAGTCATTTGAAACTCAGTATATGCATGCCCTCAGCCTGTCGGGATATTGATTGAGCTGACTCATGCTATTGATTTGAGTGTCATTAAGGAGAATTCTCTTACCGTTCATCTCTCTTTACCAGGATAATCAGGTTTCTCCTGATCTGCACTTGTATTTAACAGCCACAGGAGGAGGACACAGAGAAAATCTGATATGGATTTTATTTTGTATGAATGGCTTAAAAAAAAATTTTGGTTGTTTTAATCCAACAGAATTTGCTCAGTTTGCTCACAAATCTTCTTTCCATGAACACTAAAACTGCCCTCTCACTTTACATGATCCTCATTACTAATATCATGACCCACACCCTGTCTAATACCATTCAGTGTCTTTGAATATAGGCTGTAATGAATGTGCATTCGATTTGACTGCAAAGATCCTCAATCTGTCCATCTCTCACGTCACTGTTTTTTTCACTCACACATACTTTGGCAGTTACTGACAGACGAGCAACAGCACAAGTTTGAACAGTAAACTAATGAACTCACGTGCAGCTCTGGTGATGTAACTTCACACTATTCTACTTCCTGTTTTCTTCCCCTCCTTTTTTCCGCTCTGTTGCTCCACACTCCCCTGTTAGTGCAGACAAACATGTTTGTTGTTCTCTTTTATTTTGACAACGTGAACATTGTGGGGGCTCGTCAGACATGTTGTGTGATGAATATTTTTAGCAGTGTGTTTGTTCTCTTTGGGTTTAATTTGCTATGAAACTCTTGCTGAACTCTGTGATGAAGATTCAAGCTGCATTATGAAGAACTTGTGTTTTCTGAATTCCTATCATTGTACCACGAAAAGCAAGCTCACTAAACCACTCATTCATCCGCTCTGGTCTCCTGCTTTGCTCCACGTCCTACAGGACTCCGCTTTGTTTTGCAGACTTGGGCAATGAGTGGACTCATTGTCAAGTCAGCCGCTGTTGGACAGATTGTTGTATTTCCATCCACTCTGATTGAGATACAATGGAGAGTCGTTTGGCTTTTTATAACATGACATGCTCATTATTGACAACGGGAAAGAGTGATGGAAACGGCATGCACTGCGTGGTTGTGTCTTACAGATGTTAGCGATGCTGCACATGGACTTTGCTGTATGTTGTCTTTTGCTAGTATAACTAAACACTGGGTCTGATTATGGCAAATGCAGAGAACCTGAAGCTTTTCCTGAATATGAAACTGGCTGGGGAAAAACTGAGTGAGCGAAAGCATCTCAGAGGAGTCATGATTTGATTTCTAAATAGGAGTATGAATATATAACATCATGTTAAACGGGAATCTTAACTTGACATTAACTCTTAACATGAAATTCTCCCTAATAATCATGTCATGATTTATAGTGAGAACATGTATAGATGGCATGACTAAGGGCATTGATCGACTCCTTTCTTTAGTTTTCTTTTGGTTCATCGATTCCCTTTAAGTTATTCATTTATTCTGTCTTGTAAACCTAAAGGACACAGAGGCCATGAAGAGGGCTCTGGGGCTCATCGACTCAAAGATGGCTCAGGCTAAGAACTGGCTGAGGGATCCAAATGCTCAACCAGGTAATAAACCTGTCCCCTACCTTAAACTATTCAGTCTGCCACTAATCAAGTTCCTCAGGCTGATAACCTAATTGTATTCATTGACATTACTGACGTGTCTGACCGTTCTGCATGTTGTGCTTCTAGGGGACGCGGGCGAGCAGGCCATTCGACAGATCCTTGATGAAGCCGGGAAAGTTGGTGAACTGTGTGCCGGGAAGGAGCGGCGGGATATCCTGGGCACGGCCAGGACCCTGGGCCAGATGACTGACCAGGTGTCTGAGATGAGGGCCAGGTACGGCATGAAAGACACTGCTGTGTGTGTCTGTGTTGCAACAATAGCAAAATATTTTACCACATATTTCACAAAGTCCATGTCATTTTCATTAGACAGTCTCATGCTCTGTTACCGTTAATCTTTCCTAGAGTCTGTAATTGAATTTCCATTGGTTATTGTAGTGATAAATGCTCCTTTTGTGTAGCAGTTTCATTTTCCATCCTCAAAGGGTGTAAGGCAGTAAGTATATTATAGGAGATTATAGTGTGTGGAAGAGTGGAAGTGATATCCATCTGATATGAAATCTGATTGTCACCAGGGACACGGAGTCATGCTACATTAAAAGCAGCTGTCTGGTAATCCATAATCTACTTTAACCCATGGTTGTGTTACTCCTCTGAAAACAAGGAGATGCCTCTGAGCCATGGCTGGAAATAGAAGCTTTAAGTGAGGAAATACCATTTTTAAACAAAAGCATCATAAGGCTTAAGCTTTGGAGTAAACAAACATGCGTAGATCAGAGAACAGGCGACCAAATGTGTGCCTGTGGGGCCTTTTTAAAAGCATAGCCATGCTGCAGTTTGTGGTATCCATGTGTTCTTTGTCCGCCCCAGAGGTCAGGGGGCGTCCCCGGCCGCCATGCAGAAGGCGCAGCAGGTTTCCCAAGGGCTTGACGTGCTAACTGGCAAAGTGGAAAATGCTGCTCGCAAATTGGAGGCCATGACTAACTCCAAGCAGGCAATCGCCAAAAGGATTGATGCTGCACAGGTGAGTCATTAACCCTATACAAAAGAGTTTGTCTCTATACAAAACATGGATTCAAACGTCTCAGTGCACGTTTTCGATGGTGTTTTGAGTGTTTTTCTTGTTTCTTTCCCGTTCAGAACTGGCTGGCAGATCCTAATGGCGGCCCAGAGGGAGAGGAGAACATCAAGGCCCTGCTCACTGAGGCCAAAAAGATCGCAGACATGTGTGAGGATCCCAAAGAAAGAGATGACATTTTGCGCTCTATTGGAGAGATCGCCGCCATGACTGCCAAGCTCTCTGATCTCAGAAGACAGTAAGTTACTAACTGTCTAATATATGAGACCCTTTTATGCTGAGTTTGTTCTTTTGGATTCAAGTGTGATTGTTGCCTGTCTGCGCAACCCCTCTGGTCTGTTTTCACACTTTATTACAGTTATTCAGATGCTTTAATTCAATACTTGAATTTCATGTCGTAGCTAATTACAACTGTTTACCATTGTTGCTTGGAAACAGTGCTGGTGTTATGTATGCCGCAAAAAGTAAGAAATCTGTGTACAATACTGTTTATAAAGTTGGCCTTGAAAGTTATTCTCTGCCCATAAATCAAGGGGGAGTGTTTTATCTCTTCCACTTGTCTACAATTGGTTCTCTTCTATTTATGGCTGAAATGAACGGCTAGTACTAAAGACCTTGTCACAACATGCACACATGACTTTTCTTCCTGTGGGAATTCAGATATCATACTACAATTTGAATAGTTCTTACTCCACCTTGCACTGGTAGACTCAAACTATAGAAAGTGCTGATTTCACTGCATATTTAGTCCAGATTTGGACTAAACTGACATTTTGAATGCACTTTCAGTCAAACTGATTAATAGTTATTTGCTCTCTAACTATGGCTAGCTATTCATAGACCTCATTCCAGCCATATCTTTATGATAAAACACCACCTCAGACCCTTTTTTTTTTTTTTTTTTTTTTCTGTTTGCAATTTCCTTATAGGGGTAAAGGTGACACTCCTGAGGCCAGAATTTTGGCTAAACAGATCGCAACAGCTCTGCAGAACCTGCAATCCAAGACCAACAAAGCTGTGGCCAACAGCAGACCTGCAAAGGCAGCTGTTCACTTAGAAGGAAAGATTGAGCAGGCCCAGCGCTGGATTGACAATCCCACCGTGGATGACAGTGGCGTCGGTGAGCCTGGCCCCTATCCTCACCAACTTCCTCATCACTCTCTATCTCTCTCTTACACTCCTTCACATTCCTTCCACTGCTCCCGTGGCTAAATTGCAGACCAAACACTTGGTGTGCACGACGCTTTCTACTGTACTTGACATTCTGCACCACTCTTTCCAACAGCGTTGTGTTATTCTTTGGTTTTGGCTTGTCTCCTTAAAACCTGGACATCATCTTACATGTTTACAACAAGGCTGTTCTAAGAAAAATTGGTTCCCACAATATAATGGAGGAAACGCTTACCTCAAAGAAACAACATGAAATAATACAGAAGGAACTGCTGGTTTCTTTCCCCTCCAGTGTTGATAGAAGCAGCCAGTAAAATACCCAGCAACCATTTAATAGACAGCTATTTGCAGGAGGTGGCCAAGGTCAGCACCGGCATAAATAGCACAGTTAACTATTGCTGAACCAATTAACAATTTATTTTATCAAGCAGAAAGACCAAACATTATATTTTCACCTTTGTAAATTTGCTGTTTTTTTCTTTTGTGTTTATAAATTGAACATCTTTTGATTTTTTTTTAATCATTGGTCGTACAAAACAAGAATTGTGGTTTGCATTTTTCACAATTTTATGACATTTTGTAGACAATTGATGAATCAAATAAGTTTAAAAGTGAAAATAACTGTTGGTTGCAGTTGTGCGCTTAACGCATTTTAACAGTGTCATGGCATTATAAGAATTTTTAAACTAGCATCAGATCTGCTTTGAAATTACATTAAACAGATATTTTGGTCATTATTTCTCAAAAAATATCAGAAGCAGTGGATGACTTGTCACTTTAGTACACAAGTCTGCTCTTGTTGATGTACCCAGAGGTAATAACATAATGTTAATTGGCAGTTAACCAGCAGAATGTTGTTTTCTGTGAGTGTATATATTTATCTGTGTGTTTCCAGGCCAGGCAGCAATCCGCGGGCTGGTGGCAGAGGGCCGCAGGCTGGCCAACGCTCTGCCAGGCCCATACAGGCAGGAGCTGCTGGGTAAATGCGAACAGGTGGAGCAGCTCATGGCCCAGCTGGCTGACCTGGCCGCCCGTGGCGAAGGGGACTCCCCCCAGGCACGTGCTGTGGCTCAGCAGCTCCAGGAGGCCTTGAAAGTAAGACGGCTCACACTCAACAGTCTCATTTCCATTCAGACCTGTAGCTTCACTTTGATAGATCAGGATTCATACATGGAGACGGTCAAACAACCCCCTCTGCTGGTCACCGGTGGTGGATGAAATACAAAATCCTATCAAATAAAACTCTAACATACTGTAGTAACATAAGTAAAAGCACTGCGTCAGTGTTACGTTATGTAAAACAATAAAACATAGAGAGCACAATTACAAAATGTAATTGTTGCATCATGTGAAGTGTCAGATTTGTGATAATGAAACAAAAGTAATCTCACCACGAATGGAAACTGAAAAAATTTGGGGGTTTTCACAGTTTCAAAAATAGTTTAAAGATAATGTGATACAGGGTGAGAAACTTCTTTAAAACTCTAATAATAATGTAATTCTGAAACAGGTTTTTCATGCTTCCCTAAAAGTCTGGACATGTTGAGCTTCTGTTGTCCAAATGAACATGAACTCTAAATCTGCACGATATACACTAACAAAAGCCATCAGATCTAATGTAATGTAGGATGATATTCTCACTCACTATAAATTCTAAAAAAATGGAAATGTACAAATAAAACCTCAAACTATGTTTTCATACTGTATTTATTCACTTGCTGTTTTACAGAATACGTATACTTAGGGTTGCTGTCAGTTTAGTGTTACTTTCAGTTTGAGTTTTGAAACTACTGCTGTCTCATCTATAAGTTGAAAATGAATCAACAAACAACATTTTTGACAACAATTTGAAGTTTTAGTTGTTTATTACAGGGGAAAAAAAGTGTTTTTCTGTTTTAAATCACTGTTCTAGCCCTGATTGTATTCTGTTTGCATTTATCAGAGGGTATTGAAGTTCAATAACAACGCATTTGTACTAGTAATATCAATGAGGCGCCATGAGTGTGCTGACCGGTTGTAACATCTGTTTGTTCCCCTCCCAGGACTTGAAAGGGAAGATGCAAGAGGCGATGACTCAGGAGGTGTCTGACATCTTCAGTGACACAACCACCCCCATCAAGTTATTGGGAGTGGCTGCCACCGCCCCTCTGGACGCCCCCAACAGAGATGAGGTCAGTGGTACAGTCACCTCCTTCCTCACTGTGATCTCACCGCTCTGAGCCTCCTTCAGTGTTTTGTTATATTTATTGGCAGTGCGTTGCCATATTTCTAACTGCCCTTTTGGATAATTGTTTTATTTGATCATGTGTAGGTCTTTGACGAAAGGGCTGCCAACTTTGAGAACCACGCCAATAAACTTGGCACCACAGCAGAGAAGGCTGCTGCTGTCGGTACTGCCAACAAGAGCACAGTGGAGGGAATCCAGGCTGCCGTCAAGTCGACAAGAGATTTAACGCCACAAGTATGTCACAGTTTTGTGTTTATATGGTTTCCGTTTGTGTCTGCCCTCCACTCCGCATCACAAAAAACAGAGCTGAGAGTGTTTCTTCCTTCTCAAGCCAAGTCTTGAGCAGTTGCCAATGGACTGACAATTAATATTTGTAAAAAAAATTTCAGGTGGTATCTGCTGCTCGTATTCTGCTGAGAAACCCTGGCAACCAAGCAGCATATGAACATTTTGAAACCATGAAGAATCAGTGGATTGATAATGTGGAAAAAATGACAGGTAAGGTGCTGTAAAGATGCTGTAAATTCCATGATTGCTATTTTGTACCTCGTAGCATAATTCCCTATATTAACACGTTATGGACGTTTAGGTTTGGTGGACGAGGCCATCGACACCAAATCTCTGCTCGATGCCTCAGAGGAGGCCATCAAGAAGGACCTGGAGAAGTGCCGTTTGGCCATGGCCAACCACCAGCCTCAGATGCTGGTCGCTGGGGCTACCAGCATCGCCCGCAGAGCCAACCGTATCCTCCTGGTGGCGAAGCGAGAGGTGGAGAACTCTGAGGATCCTAAATTCAGGGAGGTGGTGAAGGCTGCATCTGATGAACTGAGCCAGACAATTTCTCCCATGGTGATGGACGCTAAGGCAGTGGCTGGAAATATCCAGGATCCAAGTATGCTGATATTGCTCACAGACATTGAGATTTTTATTTTATATGTATGTGGAACATTCTGATTAGTTTTAATGTGTTTGTTTTGATTACCAGGTCTTCAGAAGGGCTTTCTGGACTCAGGTTATAAGATTCTTGGTGCTGTAGCTAAGGTCAGGGAGGCCTTCCAGCCACAAGAGCCAGACTTCCCACCACCTCCTCCTGAACTGGATCAGCTTAATGTAAGTCCTCAGATTTTTTTTTTTTGATAGTGGAGACAGAGAAGAAACAGCTAGAATCGAACCAGGGCTGTTGCAGTACATGAAACTTGAAAGTGTGGACAAAAAATTGTTGTTTTTTGTAGGAATGACTTGTGTATTTAAACTGCCAAATCATAATTCTACATAATACATAATTACTTTGACTTGTCCTTGTAGCTTAACGATGAGGCAGCACCACCCAAGCCTCCTCTTCCAGAGGGTGAGGTTCCTCCCCCCAGGCCTCCCCCTCCAGAGGAGAAAGATGAGGAGTTCCCTGAGCAGAAGGCCGGTGATATGGTGAACGAGCCCATGATGGTAGCTGCCAGGCAGCTCCACGATGAGGCCCGCAAATGGTCCAGCAAAGTAAGTCAGCACAGTAGTGGTCTTTTACTTTGAAGCCTTGTGCTACGGTATTGATTATCTTCCTGTTGTACCTCGTAGGGAAATGACATCATTGGCGCTGCCAAACGAATGGCCTTGCTCATGGCCGAGATGTCACGTCTGGTGCGTGGAGGCAGCGGAAACAAGCGCGCCCTCATCCAGTGCGCCAAGGACATCGCTAAGGCTTCCGATGAAGTCACACGGCTGGCTAAGGAGGTGGCCAAGCAGTGTACTGACAAGCGTATCCGGACCAACCTGCTCCAGGTGAGTTCAGTCGTCTTTGTCAGAAAGTTGAACAATGGCTTTTCACTGTGGAAAGACTATACTTGTTTTGGTATCAATTTACTTTCCCTCAGCTAACTCTATGACCTCGTTTCAGGTGTGTGAACGCATTCCCACCATCAGCACTCAGCTCAAAATCCTGTCCACAGTCAAGGCCACCATGTTGGGTCGTACCAACATCAGCGAAGAGGAGTCAGAGCAGGTAAGCAGAGTGTTTTTTTTTAAGGATGTGTCAGATCACAAGGTTCCTATTATATCCCTAAAACAGCCTTTTAAAAAGGATCATTCCTGTCTCCCTCATCACTGAATCTCTCTTCATTCCTTCTCCACCAGGCTACTGAGATGTTGGTCCACAATGCTCAGAACCTGATGCAGTCTGTGAAGGAGACAGTCAGGGAGGCCGAGGCAGCTTCCATTAAGATCCGGACAGATGCAGGTTTCACCCTCCACTGGGTCAGGAAGACCCCCTGGTACCAGTAAGAGAAGAGCCACTGTTCCTCTGCCTCATGCTGGTTCTGTCCAGCTGTCCAGGAGGACACTGAATGGACAGATTTATACTTTTTCGGAGCTATGATATCAGTGCCCTTCACCCTAATATGGGCAAAGTTTCTCTGTTAGTCCCATGTCCTGTCTGTAACAGTTGCTGTTCTAGTAGAATGTAAACAATGGGACTATCAGTACGAGTTATGGGTTAGATTCTTACTGGGAACGTATTTTTTTCTAAAGTGTGTAAAAAATGTGTTTTAAAGCTTATTTTGACAAATCCCAGGAATATATATATTTTTGATTAGAGGTTGGATTTCATATAATGTAAGGTTGATTGTTTTTGGTCTCTTCTAGACACAAACCACAGTAAGTTAAATTTAAATGAGATTTTCTCAAGAGACATTTTTTATATCTTTGTACTGATAATTTTATTATCATTATCATTCATTCACCTTTGCTAGAAAAAGCACATTATCTTTAGCAGTTGTTACAAGTACAGTATAGGCCTATGCCTAGCACACACTAAATATATTAAGTGGTATTATGTCTGTTTACACTATTCTTTATTATCACAAGTGAAAGAGAAACACTGTTCCTTATTTTACATTTTATAATGCAATTGTAATAATGTTTTTTTTCTTCAAAGTTCTGCCAAAGACAGTCTGCCATGATCTTTGAAAGGGCTAGTTATTTAGATGGGCTAATTCAAGAAACTAAAATTTCTAAAGCAAGTAAAGATGGACACTGCTTGTAAGCTTGTATTCAATACATTCTACATATGTTTTGTTTCACATGTTGCATTGAGATTACATGTAATAAACAGGCTTGTGCAGGCGCTTAGTTCGCTTATGCTTCGGGCCGGCTCTACCAACAGGAATAGATGTCACTTTATCTTCATATCACAAAATGCATTCATAATTTCACAGGGCACAAAACTTGGTAAGATGGTGTGTTGTTGTTATAGGAAGAAACTTCAATATAGTGTGAAAAAGAGAGGATGGAGAGATTGTAGCCTACAGGGAGCCTGGAGCCTGCCCCAGGGCGACAGAGTGGGTACACCTGGACAGGTTACCAGTGTATCTCTGTGCTGCCACACACACACACACACACACACACACACGCAGACAGCCTCACATCCACAGGCAGCTTTTAGAGGGGGTTATATCCAGATTAAAAACACGTGTGGAGATGGAACAACTCGAGCACTGTTCGGTCTGTGGTCCGTCCGGAGATGGAGGGGGCTGATGGTGATGGTGGTTGCGTGGTGCTGAATATTTTAGGTTTTTCAGTCTGCTACATAAATTAAACAGGCGTAACAAGGCTAGACTTTCTCTTCAGGCGATGATGGACATTTTCTCGTTTTAACACCATATGGAAGTTTCTCAACAAAGCAGCTCATCATGGTTTAACGAGAAAAATTTGTGTTAATGAAATACGTTATTTTTGTGACATAATGAGAGAGTTTTGTGATATAAGAAAAAAATAGAACAAAGTGATGTGTTATAACAGGAAACATTTCTTGTAAAAATGGAATAAATTGTTAATAACAGGAAAATATCTTTATTGTTATAACGTGAAAAGGATCTTAAATGAGAGAAGTTTCTCGTTATAACGACAAAATATTTAACAAAACTTTTTTTGATATTTTTTGCTCATGGTTGCAACAATACACTGCTGCCATATGCTTCTTCCTTCTCAGTCAACAAACAGATCTCAACAAAATATTTGAGTTTTTGTTATTTTTAACTTCTGAAACAAATTGATTCAATAAAGGATGTACAACTACATTCACATTTGCTTTCAAACCACAATCTTTGCCACGGCACTCCTGATCAGTTTGTCTTTAATTGTCTTTTTCTTACTGAAATGTTATTTGCAAATAATATAGGATATATATATATATATATATATATAATTATTCCTTGCAATGTGCTATTTTCTATACAAATTGTTGCTCTCTTTAAACATTTAAAATGGCAATAATCTGGTGTGGGGTATGAATTTATTGTCTGGGACTTTTTCAAACAAAATCTGGATGTGACTAGTTTTTCTGCCACTGTTAATGAGGAGGTTACGGATGAGGATGTAGGATCGTGTCTACTAATGATTTTAAGTGAGTTGTTTGGATGCGTGTGTGTGTATGTATATCTGTGTGTGTGCACGTGGCCATGCATGTGTACGTGCATGTGTGTGAGACATGTTACATCTCAAGGACAAATGGTTTCCCAGGTTACTTGGACATAAAGGACATCAGGAAAGGCTGTAATGGAAGACATTCTGCAAGCTAGATCTGGATTTAATCAAGGATCCAACAGTGGAAACTCATTGTTTAGACTTTGAGAGGCCACATCCATCCCTTTTCTAAGCTTGCAAATAAATTCATCATCAATAATGGGAGAGTCTATATTCATTTATTAATTTTCAATTAATTATGGCAGTTTATTGAACATCTATACAAATCAATTTTCTAATTTATAATAGTGCTATGTACTATTGATACAAATATTTGTATTTAATATCTAATATAATATTTTCTAATCAGATTTTTCATTTTGAATATTGGTGATCTTGTATGTGCCTATCTTATTTAAAATCTTAATCTGCAAAAGAAATTGTAACTAATAGTAAAAGTACTATATTTTCCTCTAAAGAATGAAGTAGTACAAAATGTACAAGCTTCTTAAATCTGTACCAAAAATACACTTGAGTAAACTTAGTTACCTTCCACCACTATGTGAACTGTATCAGTGTCACTGATCTACATTCATATCTGCGCTCAGTTATATTTGGAACTAGGGACTGATACGTCATCAGGAAAAGCTTCATATGCAGGTCAACACAGCCCATCACTAGTATTGAAACTTTTCAGCAGCAGGAGTGTCAGAGATGTTAAAGAGCAGATCATGATAGATATTAAATCCTCAACAATTAATTTTATAGGTTTGGGGGCATGGCTTAATTATTATGATAACATTCAAAGAGTAAAATTAATATAATATGAAGTTAGGTTGGCAAATTTTGACACTTGCTAGTTGTATCATTTGTACAACGTATCATGGTCATCACCGGGACATTCCTTAATCTTTGATTTTGAATAAAAGTCCTGTGATCTCAATTCTCATAATGCCATTTTCTTGTGCGATTTCATGCTGTCAAGGTGTCCCTATTTTGGCAATTTATTTAGGAATATGCACCATGTATAATCTGACACAGGGTCCACTTCATGATAGGTCATAGTGAAGGAGATGATGATGTGCTTTAGTGGTGAATATTCGCCAAACTACTTTGCAATCTATTGAATTGCTCTAAAGCAATCTACAAACAATGACCATGGGGCCCTCTAAGACCTGGTAACTCTGGGGCCGGGTATATAATAATTTATCCTTGAGGGTGTCTGATGCATAAAGTGAACTAAAGTGTGTCTTTAGTCCAAGAGGATGGATTAGTAGCCTATAAAACATCGTGTTAAAATTCTGTGTTTATATACATTTATAAACTGTGCAGCATACCACATTAAATAGGACCATGCTTTGCCTCTTGTTAAAAAATGGGCAAACTGTGAAGTTGAACTTTTATCTATGTGGAACAGGTGAAACAGCACCGCGATAAAATCAGATTTATCATCTCTTTCTCCTCTGTATATGAGTCAAATGGACATTGCCTCGGCCAGGAGGTTACTAGCTGAGTGTGAACCTTCCCCGGACATAATCATTAATTTTCTTTCTAGGTTGCATACTGTTAACCAGTTCCTCCATCATCATCATCACCATCATCATCATCTGTGTGGAAGGAAGCCGCAGCCTCTCACTACTCTTTCCCCGGCAGTCAGCAGCGGTTTCCCAGCCTCCTCAGCGTCAACACGCCCGTTGCTGGTTTTCAAAAACACATATGTCTGACGAAGAGCCAAACATGTCGACGGGTAGGAAGACAACGTTAAGGTAATAACCCGACAGTGTTGGTTTGTTATGTGCTGGCGTGATGCTCTGTGTAGTTAGCTGCTGTTGCTAGCTGTGAATTCATACAAAGGTCTCCGGTGTTGGTGTCAACTGCTGCAGGAGGTGCAGGACGATAAAGGCGCTAAACAGTGTGAACCTTTGAATCGACTCTAATGTGCAGGTAAAGCTGCTGTTAGCATTTTGACACAGGCTGATGGCTTAAAACGGTGCTAACAACAGCTAGCAGGAGAGGGTGGGTTTATCACATCATCACATGACTGGGAGGCAAGAATTGTCCATTTATCCATTCTATATTAATCATTTAAAAAAATATAAATAAGGTAAGATGACAGCTTGTGTGTAAAATGATGTCGCTGGAAAAAGGTTTAGTTTTTAATAGCTAAATAGATTTGACAGGCGCGAGACAAACTTAGCTAGGAAGTTCAAAAATCACTGCTCTTTGACAAATGTAAATAGGCTGATAATTGGAGGGGTCATGCACGTGAAGGCTTGCATTTTAATTAAACGATTAACATGTAAATACATGTTCACTGGGGTCTGTGAAATATCATGCAGCTAATGTAAAATGTATTATATGTCTTGCAATGTAAACATCAGCCCAGCGTTTAAATATCATGTCAGTTTTCGTGTTGGTATCTGTAATAGAGCAATGACATTTAAAGGGCTGGCAGGCAGCTGGAGTCTTGTTGATATTGGAGGAAGAAAAAAAAAAAACACAGCTACATTTTGCATAATGTGAACAGTGTGGCGTTCACTTGCCATGAGGAAAACTTTCTTTTCAACGTAATTGTCAATTTTGTAGCCCTGACAGTGAGTTAAAGTTTAAAGGCTCAGGAAGTTTTTTACAGACTTGAATTGCTCTTGACAAATGTCATTCTCTGCATCTTTACACCCAATTTAACACGGTTGAAAATAAAAAACAGAACTAAAGAAAGAAGGGGACGAATAAATTAAATAAAAAAGTTAAAATGGGTCAAAGTTAACACTTGAAAGTGTCAGTAGAGTGATAGTTATAGTGCTATCACATAAATCATAAAAGCATTGGCTGCAAGCTTTGTGACACTATCATGTCTTTCTGAGACACAATAAGACAGACAAGAATTTTAGCTCAGTTCTCAGGAAGCCAGTGTAGGGAGTCTAGTGAGTGAGAGTATTATGGTCCCACAGCCTTTGACCTTGTAACATACTGTATTCATGCTTTTAATCTTTGTAGCAAGTAAGAAATGGCAAAGATGCTTGTGAATGGGCGATATGTCATTCTATCAACAAATCTATGCAATAAAGTTGATGGTCTGTGCACACCTGGGCAATTCACATATTTTATTGATCTTTTTTTTAAAAAAGTCAAAATGAAGTAAATACAGTCCTTGCAGCAAGGGACATTAAAAGTGACCCAATACAGTAATTATGTCATGCATGAAAGCAAAGAACTGGAAGTCAGAAAACCTTTAGTTAAAACTGCAGATTGCCTAGGCAGCAAGGCAAAGCAAAACACCAACATGGCTGCAAGGAACCTGTAGGAAGATTTAGTCCATTTGGATAACCAGAGTCATTTTGGAAACAAGTGCTGTGGATAGATGAAGTTAAAACTGAACTCTTGGGTTTAAACTTGACCTTTTTAAAATTACCGCAAGGTATAACCTAAAAGGACCACGTTCCTCTGTTCTGTCTCTGAAGAGTGAATTCTTCACACAAAATAGATGTGATGAAATCTTTTCATTTAATTATTTCTTATACTCGAAAGAAAAATCTGCTCTCCAAGTACAAACGTGTCTTCACACCCATAATATTGAAAACGTATGGGGATTTAAACTTTGTATTATTTGCAATTTGGATTTTATTGGAATGTGAATAAATGTGAATTTATTGCATATTTCAGATGTAAAAGAGCAGTAAAATCTAAGTTATTCATGTTTTCCACTGCTGTTAAAAGTTGGTATAAGCATGACTTGACAGTATTTTCTAATATGATCAGTTGACAAAATATGTGATTTTAATTTATTAGTTTTCTATGTATAATATATGCAGTTGCAGTTCATGTGCAAATACGGCATGTGTAGAGCTTCTTTCCCATTGCTCTCAAACGCAGCATAGAAAGCTTTACAATATTTGGAACATGTGTAGCCAATCATAGACCTAGAAGTGACAAAGTCCCGCCCGCTTCCTCCAGCAACCAGTCAGTGTTGTCCAAAGTGCAGCCTCAGTTCCTGTAGTCAAAAGCACGTTGCTTTGACAGAGAGGAGGAAGCCTTTGGTCATTTAATCATCAGGTTAGGCTGCTCGGTTTTCTGACATCATGCCAACTGCAAGGTAAGAGCCAGATGTTGGCCACTGTTTCCACAGGGAACAATTCTGCTTTTAAGGTCGTCTTTTTCATTATGTACAGTTCTGTCAGTCTTTCAGTGGGTTGATGGGAAACACTGATGCCAGGCTTTTAGGGATGTATTAAATTGGGATGGCTCCAGTGACTCTGCATCTTCCTTGACATCTTTTCCATTATAGATGATGTAAAAGTTATTACTCATAGAGATCTGAACAAGAAAGTCACTGTGTGTGTGTCCTGTGTTTTCTGAAAGTTGGGTAACCTGTCATGAAGACTTGTCAGGAGTAGACTTTGACCACTATCATATCTTGCATATCTTTTCTGCTTGAATTGGTCATGGGGGGGGGGGGCTGCTTGTGTGTGAATGACACACAAGCAGCACATGCCTGTATATAAGATGTTCAGTAAATGGTAATCCAATGTGCTGAAGTGACTGCTTTTTCTTATTATTTCTAATCACTGCCACCAGTCATAACAATGCATTCATGAGTTTTGTCAGGAACTCATGTACATGTTCGTCGTTCGTGTTTTTGTTGCTTTACTTTCTCATGTGTTGAATCATATTTTGGTAAAAGAGCCATCGGTGAAACATGGGATCATCTCTCATCAAAGTCTCAGTGATTTAATCCAGCAAATCATAAACAGATGATTGTTTGTATCACAGCAGATCAATTGTTTCGTCTGGTGAGTGGGAGTCTGAATGATACAATATGTTTCTGTCTCCCCACAGTGAAAACACGCTTTTTGGGATGGGAAATCCTTTGCTCGACATTTCAGCTGTTGTGGACAAAGACTTCCTTGACAAGTAAGTCTAAGCAGGTCATTTATTCCTGCTGAGATCTTTGTATTTCTGTGTCTTATCTGACCAAACCACAGTCATGGTATTCATTTTTTTCTTATTCTTCCCTAAAAGGTTTGGACTGAAACCTAACGACCAGATCCTCGCCGAAGACAAACACAAAGCCTTGTGAGTCAGATCTCCACTGGAACACCACATGCTTCAGTAGTGTAACGCGAAGTGTTAAATTTACGTGGAACCAAATATGGGCTACACTGGTCATTTATACCCACTACTACCATCTTGACACAGTAAGCTGTGCTTAAAATAGCCAAGTCATAAATCAGACCTCTGTAACTGGGACCCCCAGAACTTGACAAGCCCACATATTTCCTTTTACTGAATTTGTGCCAAACTACACCAAGATATCTCTGGATTTACCACTGCTTTAGCAGATCCACAAAGATATTTTAACTGCATGCTACACTAGGTATTTAAATAACAATTATTAATTTACTCTAGGCTCAGGTTTTGCTAAGCATGCAGGTTCCTTTTCCAGACCCTCCCTCCCACCCTCCATCCCTCCTTCCCTCCCTCCTTCCCTCCTTCATATTTCAAGCAGATGCCAAACAGTAATACTATAGCCTTTCCTCGAAAACATGGTTGTGTGTAGCTGAACGTAGCGCCTCACTCTTAAAATGCACCTGAAGGTAAACAAAGACTGTAACCAACAAAAAGACTAACACTGAAACAGGACCAAGCCTTGATGACTGACTGACCTCACAACATCCTACTTCCTTTGTTTGATAGAGCGCAGATGGTGTCCTCTCAGGGAATTTGTCTGTGTTAATCTTAGCGCAAACATAAAAAGTACACCATCTGTAAGTAAGGTGAGGGTGTGAGGGAGGCGTTTTTGAGTTTTCTTTTGAAGTTTCATATTCAAAAGTAAATCAGATCTTCTAAATTTGGGGTACAATATGTAAATATTTGTTATATGCTTGCCTATTCTAAATGAGTGTGAGAATGTTTGAAAATCATGATATACTTTGATGGTAAAAAAAAAAAAAAAAAAAAAAAAAAAACAACTCTCTGGAGCTTGAAACTGCCATAGCTCCTGTACACAGCAACACATTGTTTTAACAGTAGCTAGTCTGAGCAGTTTAGAAATCCATGAATGTTATTTGGTACATCCCACACCAGACTGAAACTCTTTTTGAGATATCCACCCTATTATCTAGGGAGAAGCTTTTTCAACCAGCTGAGTGCAGTAGTTCATAATGAAATAGAAAAATATGCAAATGTATACCATACGCCAAAAGCGTTTCCGAAAAAATCCTGGGTTCAGCTTTTCACCAAAAACAAATAGTTTCTTGGTGTATGGCCCAAAGTTACACCAGATATCAATGAAATGTGAAGGGGTCCTGCTGAGTAGTCTGGCAGTTAAGTTATTGCTTAAAAGCTTTATCATGACATAACTGTCTCTGTGCTGACTCACTCATGACTCATCCAATTTGCTCATGATGGACCTTAACAGATACTACATGCATTATTCAATGGTGGATCCGTTGAGCACAAATGCTCTTTTACAGGGATTCATTGTTCCACGCTCACACATTTACACCTCAAAGCTGCCCAGTCCAACCAGTCATATCTGTTCGATGTATGATAACCATACTCGTATCTGATGGTCTCTGTGGGGGTTGGAGGTCACTTATGCAGTGGTGTTGAGGGAGGAGCAAGTGGTACTTTTTAGTTCTTCTAAACCAAAGTTCATCCTGCCGGTCTACAGATTGAGACCATGACCCTCTGGCCACGTCATGCAACTTTGAGTCAGTGGCAGCGGCCCAGTCCCCAGTCACTGCATCAACTGGGATTTACAATGGCATAACACCAGAATTGTTTTCTTTGTATGAAATTATTTCTTAAGCTACTGTAGAAAATAGTCATAACAGTAACAGATAGATAGATAGATAGATAGATAGATAGAGTCAAGTGTTCTTGTTCATAGCTATTGTAACTAATATTTCTTTATTGATTGAACTGTGAAATAAAATGTGTTATAGCTTTTAAATTCATTACATAACTTTGAAAGTCTTCAGATTTTCTTGAGAATATGCTCACTTAAAAGAAAAAATCTGACACGCTATCCGATGGTTTTCTGTCATTGCTCGTAGTTTGATGCAGATCAGGATGCAGGTTCAGATTAATCATTTTCTCTTATTGAAATGACTGTGTTAGAGAATTAAGCAGCCTCAGTGAAGGTTTGTGCTCTGATAAATGATTTTAGGAGCGTTCACGTCCATTGAACTATTTCCAGCCTGAGAAGGAATGAATTCAGTTGTGGTGCCTCGTGTATCGATTCTAAGGAAATCACAGTGCAGTAATTGTAAAATCGCAAAACGCACTCGAGTGATGCATAGAGACAGATCAGTGCATCAGATCGTCTGTACCTTACAATAGGCTACCTTGTCAGGTCTTGTTACTTGACAAAGGGACACATGTGACCTTGGGCGGCAGCAGCGGCACAAAGCAGCATCATCAGCAGTGTTGTTCTCCTCCAGCACAAAGGCAGCGGTGTTATCTTTAGCCCCGCAGACACCGTTCCCTCCACATTCTGCACAAGGTCAGGGCAGGATTAACATGCGGCTTTGGTGGTTAATTCCCAGCACAATGCATTTCAATGCATGTCCCCTCCAATACCACACACACACAGCAGCATACTCACCATCATGTCTATCAATTTACATCTAAATGTACATGTGTTTTTTTTTTTTTTTTATCTCATTATCTGTTGATATTATTATTGCAGTACAGTATGAAGATCTGTAGCTTTTCCATGCTGAGATACGAGCCGCAGAGTTCTTAATGATGTGTCAGTGACACCCCAAAAAATTTTTACGTGTAAAGTGAAAAGAGGTCATCCACAAGGTCACTGGGCCATGGATGAAGAAGAACTTGGCCGAAGTGCTGTGACAAATAACATCATCACTAAAAAGGCCACAGTAGACTTACAAGGCTAGTCAGCTAACACTATTGTTGTGCTTCTGAATCTACAGTGTGTGTAACATGATTCATTTCTTTCCCCCATCACCCTGGTGGGAGAGAGATCATTGGATGCAGTGCACTGTGGCCATGCCTTAATTCAATTATCTAGTCACAGCAGAGCCATATAATCCTGTTGTGGCTGAGAAATTGCCTGTTGTACAGTAGAAACCATCAACATCTCTGTTAGTACTGGCTGGGGACTTAATGTTTTTTTTTTTTCTTCAATAAGTCTCAGCTGCGACTTTTGATGCCTTTTCACTCGGCTTTAAACTAGAGCTGAAAGTGTTGATAAGTCGAACACAAAATGATGTCAGTGACGTCAGTTTAGCAGTTTTGATAATGAATTGTTTGTCATTTATTGAACAAAAGTGCCAAACATCCGCTGGTCACATGATTCTCAAAGATGAGGATTTGCTTCTTGCCGCTTTCTCATATCATTATAAATTGATTAATAAAGCCATTAATTGATCATCGAAAAATAATTAATAATAATAGTAACAATTACAATCGCTGGTTTTCTCACTAAATGATGATGGTAAATTGAATATCTTTGAGTTTTGTACCGTGGGTCAAACAAAACAAGAAGTTTAAAGACATCAACTGGGATTCTGTGAAATTGTGACAGATGTTTTTCAGCATTTCCTTACATTTTTAACTGAGTAAATAAACATGAGATTAATAGATAATTAAAACAATCATTTTTTGCTTTATTGATTAGGAAATTGAAGTAATAATCAAGAGATACAGCCATAGAGCTCAACTGTTGTTCAAAAACTAGTTAAAACATAACTGAGCCACTGCTTTGCACTGGGGGACATATTCTTTCATTATGATAGCTACACATGGGTATTGTAGTTTATTTTGGATCAATCCCACATACACATCCTGCTCCTGTTTGAGTCAAAACTGCAGTGCTCAGCTGTTTAAGGACGTTTCTGAGCCTTTTTAAAAAAGTGAATCAATACTGTAGATTTACATTATGGGTTGACCTCCTCAGCCAGGGTAGGGAAATCAGAAAGTGCTGAGAGACTAACACAAAGTTGATCTTGTTTTTTTGTTGACAATCAGACAGTTCTTCAGCCTTATCCTCTTGATGAAAACTAAGGCAGGATCTGCTCTGCTGAATAAACATAAACTTCCTGGGTGTCCTGGTTGCCTAGTGGTTCAGGCACATACCATATAACCGCAATGTCCCTGGTTCGTTTCCGGCCTCATATGTTTGTTGCATTTCATAACATTCTCTCTCTCTTTCTCTTTCTCTTTCTCTCTCTCCCTCCCCATGTATCAAGTATCCAATATAGGCTAAAATGCTACGTCCATCCAAATTCAGTTCATAAATCATGCAGTTTAATCTCACGCACTGCTAGAATCACATACCCATGACCTCATCACTCTTGTGTCCATATAAGGCTGCTGCTCCTCAATACTTGTATATTAGGCTATACAAAGTCTCCAGTGTAGAGGTTGGTGAGTCATGTTGCGTTAAAACACCTAGGTGTTGTACTGTAAGTGCTTTTATTTTGAATTTTATTATTATAACTATTACCTTTTGTTAAGTTGGTGAGCTGCAGTTGAAAGCGTTGTTTTCACAGGATGTTGGTTTTTTTCAGAGGAGGCCACAAATGTATCGAAATTAGTGTATGAGAGTGAACCAATTAACCAAAGCACTGTCTGTAACCTCCTTTTTGCTTGCTTAGACATGTAGTGTTGTAATATTGTCACTTTTTGTAGTCACTGCTGCCATCATGTGGCTTGAAATACTGAAGTGAAATAAGTCTGGATTGTGCAAGCTGGGGGATTTGTAATGACTTTTTTTTTTTAAGATTCAGGAGTACATATTGTCTTATTCCACATGATCAGACAAATAAGATCATGGTATATTCTATTTAAAGTTGTGGTACTCACCAGTATTTTCTCTTTTACTTTATTCTGTTGTATTTTTGATAATAGGCCTTTAAAACATATACGTTGTTAGCACTTGGTTGATATTTTATTTGGACTTTTTCGCTTTTCTCAGGAGTGAATTTCTCTGGTCAGTTTTGAGTAGCAGTAAAGGGAGTGTGTACCTTTCAGGGCCACCAGGGGGCAACAGTAGCCTGCTGTTTGTCTCTGAAGGAGTCTCCATAGGAAACAACATGTCAACA